TGTGCCGGGCCGGCGAAAAGTCCAAATTCCGGGCAGATGGGAACTGATTTCTGAATAGTTTTGCGACAAACTGCTGCGTCCTGGTCACAAGTAGTAAACATATTCAGATACTAGGATATGCAAGTCCCTATTCCATGTAAAGAAAAACAGCAACGATTTGTGAAACATGAAACAAAATCAATACGAGCCGGTGCTTATCTCATTTTATGTTATAATAAATTAGGGAGGGTCCTTATAGGGGAGATAGGCCGCAATATAAGATTGCATGAACGGCCCTGATGTGAGACAGTGTGCAACTCATCTGTTCCCTGTCCCACATTTCTATGATGTTGCTGGTCAAGCCCTTGTTGCTCGCTGCTCTTGTTGCGGTCGCCGCCGCCGATTGTAATTCCGGCAAACAAATTTGTTGACTGTGATCATCGCTAACAGTGTCATATCCATTCCAGCCATTCCCTCTTCCACCATCAACGTCGCCCCAGGGACCGACATCAAGCGCCAATACTCGGCCGACGGTGCTAAAGCCAACATCAACTTTGTCTACAAGCGGCCAACCCTCGATCTCGATGCTCTCAGCTCCGCCGATGCGCTGACGACCGTCTCCTGCAACCCGCTCAATAGCACCTTGACCTTCAAGGTTGCGCCGAGCGTCCTCAACACCGGCCGCCAGTCCCCCTCGGACGTTGCGCGCTCCGTGAACCAGCGCGTCGCGTCGAGCTGGTACACCGGCATGGGCGTCAAACTCGAAACCCTCGACTTTGACTCGAAGAACCCCAACGCGGCGGCGTGCTTGGGAATGCGATACAGCTCCGAGGACCCCCATGTTTTCAGGACCGTGAAGTCGTACACTGTTACCCCTGTCTCTGACGGCGCGGAGGTGACGATCACGACCGCGCCGGCGAACCAGACCGACTTCCTCCAGCGCGTCGTTGCGGACCTTGACGTCGCAGTAGGCCAACCTCAATCGGTTTCTAGGTGGGCTTCGGATGGGGAGAGGATTGTGTGTTTTACGTCAATCTGGTCAATCTGATCGTACATTATAGCTTGACCAAGCGCGCTGATGCCGCCTTGAACATCTTGAACCTGAACTGGAACAACGCTGCTCACGCCGCAGGTGCCGCAGACTCGAAGATCCCTATCTACTCCAAGTCTGCCAGCGCTGCGGGGGGCACAGTTAACGGCCAGCTCGACATTTCTTGCTCCAACTGCTACTTCTGGTATGTTTTCGTTTATAATCGATGAAGCAAGGTTTTCATTAAACTGATCTTTTTAAACAGGATTGAAGGAAAGCTGAAGATCCACATTGACACTGGTATCTTTGGAGAGAAGGTTGACCAGGGCACCGCGGAGTTCTACGCATTCTTTGAGGGATCCGCTGAGGTCATGGCCGAGCTTGAAGTTGCTGCTTCGGGAACTTTCTCCAACACCTGGTCCAAGGTGAGATACGTATTGTTGTTCCAATGGTATTCGTTACTGATATTGGTGACATAGAACTTCTTCTCGCCCCAATTCACGTACAGCCTTGGCGGTGTGCTCAACTTGAACGCAAAGGTCGGTGTCCTCCTTGCGTACACGGCGGCATTGTCCGTTGGGAACTCCGGTGGTGTGGTCCGCGTCGGCGAGCGCTTCCGCTTGAACTGGGGTGTTCCCATCGACTTCCTGAACGGAAAGGGCAAGCTCCCCGCCGCATACAGCAGCAAGATTTCCGAGACCACTGGGTAGGACATTAGCTGAACGAAGTGCAAATAGTTTTCCCTAGTCTAATTCTATTGAATAGATCTGCTAGCATCCTGGCCAACTACAACGGTGAAGCCATCATCTCACCAGTTGCCACCTTTGGTGTCGATCTCCTCTCGCTTGCCGGAATCGACCTTACCTTGGCCGCCACGGGCACAGTCCCTCACTCCGTGAGCGCATACGCAAACGCCGGAACGACCATCATTTGGGATGGTGTTTCCAACACCAACATCACCGCTGGGGCTGAATGCGGTGTCACTTTGACCTACGGTTGCTCGTTGGTGCCCAGCATCTCGTCCAACGCGTTCGTCCTCGGAATGCAGTTCTCTGTGTACGAACACACGTTCCCTGACGTTGTAAAGGTGAACGGTGCGCTTACGAGGACCTGTGTGAGCCAAGCTACGACCGTGACGATTGCCCCCGCATCTAAGACCTCATCCATCAAAACCGTGACTTCGACTGTCACTGCCCGTGGTTAAATTACTACAAGACGGGCCACCACGTTTCAGTTCCAAGCTTCTTTTTCAATCTGCACTTTACTGACATATTTACACTCTATGTTGTAACCTCATATGCTGCCGATGCATCGCTGAGCATCTGCCAAAACAAGTTGCTTTCAATAGAATAGCCTTGATTTTTTATGATCAACAGCACAGTCTTAACTTGCACATGAAACACCGATGGTTTCTTGGTTGCAAACCCAGACTTGACAGACCATCAAAACATTCATTTTCTCTTCTTTCCCACGGACCTTAAACTTTCCCGCCAGCGACAAATTTTCCCTCCCAGAATCGCCATCCACCAACTCTGTGCTGAAAAACCCAGTCCAGGCTCTCCGTTACGTCGCTGTGCAAGCTTTCATAAAATGCTCTTCTCAACTTTACTCTTCGCTGCTGCTTTCTCGGCTTGCGTCTCTCCTTCCGCTCGTGCCGCCTCCCCGTTTGATGGCACCTTTAACGGCCGCCTTTCGTACTACGGAGAGGACCCGGGTATGTTCATGCTGGAGGAGAGACTTTGCTAAAGTCGCTTTACGCGTCCAATACTCATACACTGTTACTTTCAGCCGGTTCTGACGCACCGCCGTACTGTGGCCAATACCAATGTGGTGCATGTGGTCGAGACCCTGCACCGGCTTACTACAACCGCTTCGCCGCCCTGTCCACCAAGTTCTTCGACGGGTTCAGTCCCAACGGTAACCCGAACAGGAACCCTCTTTGCAACCGCTGCCTTGAAATCACCTGCAACGATAGTGCTTGTGTTCGCGGTGCCAAGACCGTCGTGCAGCTCGTCGACTCGTGCCCTCCGTGCCCCAATAAGTATGACTTGGACGTTTCGAAGCAGGCATTCGCAGACTTGATGAGCGACGGTATCCGCGGCGCCACCCGCCAGGGTCTGATGCAAGTGTCTTGGAGGGAAGTTTCTTGCAACGGACAGTCCCCTGCCCAGTCTCCGAAGCCTTCCCCTCGCCCTAGCCCGACCAGCGCAAAGTCTCCGAGCCCTAGCCCTATCGTGCGAACCTCGGCATCACCCAGTCCAATCCCACCCCGCACCACTGCCCCCGCTGTGATTTCCCCTGCTTCCCCGTCTCCGATGCCGTCACCGGCACACACCACCACTACTTCCAAACCCTCTCCTTCTCCCGACGCTGTCGCTGAGCACGGCTCTGAATCCGAAGTGTCACCGGACGCGGGAATTGTTCCCGACCCCGTTGCTTCGTCCGCCGTTGTTGCTTCGTCGACTCCCAGCGAACGCGCCGAAGGCAGTGGGTACCTTGCTCAGTACCGTGCGTCAGGGGCTATTCAGAACTTTTCGCGCTATTCTCTGCTCTCGGGGCTGGTCGTCGGAGCAGTTGTTGGTGCTTTTGGATTCATCTTGGTCGCCGCATAAACTTAGAAGTCTTTTCGCCTAGTGCCAATCGATATCAACATCGCACATTACTTTGTATTTCCGTCAGTTTTCTTGGATACAAATGCGTGTAGTAGTTTATTCGCTTGGTTTCAACCATTTTGCGTTCAAATTCTGTTACTTTTGGCGTTGCAGCTGGTTATTGGTGCGAGTTTTCTATTTTCTTAACCTTGCTTTTGTTTTCGATATCAGAACGCATATATTTTGGGTCGTCCGTGTTTGAGCTGTCGAGCTCTCCCGCCTTTTTTTCTTTCTGAATCCCTTTTTTCAATCCGCTGTCTTCGTAGTAAACAACCATACAGTTGTCGACAGATTAGATCTGCGCTTTTAACATACATTGGATGCTCGTTGCTGATACAAAATTTCTAGAGGCAAAATTTGCTCCAAAGCACTACTGGAGGCACAATAGATGGACTCGAAAAGCGATATGAGTACAGAAAATTTGCTGGGATTGGCTATTTGTGTGACCAAGATAATGCTGTGATATTTGATGCCTTTTGACGACCGCCTCAATCCAGAATTCCAAATACATCATCAAGTACACCATTAAAAACCTAAGACCCTTCCAAGTTAACAGATACCCAGGTGGATTTTAACAGGTGGCGATATATCGTATCGCCAGCGGCTGTAGATGAGTTTGCTACGCTAGATGCCATCAGATAAGCGTTGAAAGGGGTTGGAGGAGATGAACCATAACCAATTGGATATGATTGATGCAACACAGCAGCTGGCAACAGAGGGTTGGAATCACCAGACCAGCGAGCAAACATACGTGCCTGAAGGTACTTCAGCCTGAACTCAAATGTGGGAAGGGTTAGTTAGAAACAGCAACAAGCCAACACGTGAAGTGGTATGGGCTAGCTAAAAAAGACGAGATAGTGCATGATAACAAAAAGCTCGAGCAATTGAAGATTATAACTAAAAGGTCAAATCAGATGTTATTTTAACAATATTATTATTTATTTTGCACATACAATGCATAACAAAAACAACACCCAAAGTGCCTTACAAGATGGTCATGGACCACCACATAGGGATGCGCGCGCAGCATAAGGAAAAGCAACAAAGCAAAACAGAGAATGTAAACTCAAACCTGTGGCTACCCATCAGATACTGCTAAGGTGCCAAAAAAACAGGTGAGTAATAAATAATGAAAATAGAACCAGTTAAAGATCCACAAATGCAGGGCCAAAGAGGGAGTCTGGAGGAGAAACTTCTAATGGCAGACCCATACAGTGAAGCCAAATCTTATGGAGACAACGAAAAACTAGATACCACGGTGCAAGATTCGCTGGGTTGACAATGCGAAGTGGACGAAGGCTATTAATTTTAACATCAAGCGGAAGGTGTTAAATTTACAAGTCACTTTGGCCGAGTGGTTAAGGCGGCGCCCTGCTAAGGCGTTGGGTTCTGCCCGCGCAGGTTCGAATCCTGCAGGTGACGAAAGTAGGATCTTCATTCCATTCTAAATATTCGGTAGTGGTGTACCATTTGCAAATATACCTCTTCCCGAAACAGTGTCCTCTAGTTCTTCAAAGTGATATGTTGAGGACATATTCAAGAAAGTAACTTTTTTTCGGTTTCTACACTAAAATCCCCCCAACACCATAGTTGAATATCATTTCTTCAAACCGCTTTCCGAAGACATTGAAACACTTGCATTGTTCAAGCAAGGCCCAAAGTGCTGTTCAAACACCGAAGGAGCATTGCACTAGCCCTAAAGTAAGTTAGAACCTAAATTTGATAAGGATGAATGAACCAATACCCCATTTTCCATTAACCATCCATCCTGCATCTTGCGCTTCGATCTCGTTGTGTCGATCTTTCTCGACACCTACTGCAACATCACTTTTGCAAGTTCGCAATGTCGCCAAGGGCAGTGATCCATGCAGCGGGCCGATGGCAGTCTCAAACGGAGTGCTGACGGGCCATTGGCAATCATAGACCAACTACGATACAGCGATCAGGTTTCTGAGTTCCAATTAGTGCTCTCACATACCTTGCGATAGTTAAGATCACCTTTGAACAAGACTAGTTTGCTATTAGCCTTAAGGTTATCATACAGGTCTGGTGCAACGGTTGGCATGTCCCAGAACGAGCACGGCAAAGTCCAAAACTCGTGCTCCTTCACAATCCAAGCACCAGTGTTGAAGTTGTCCCTCCAGCGTTGTAAAATGCTCGACAAATTCGGTACTTTTGGAAGCAACGACTCGCAGTATTGCATGGTCCATTCGATATCTCTCCTAGTGGTATCTGACACCTAGGCGTTGGAAATTTCAGCGTTGAAACAAAGATGGGGCGTAATTGATACGTACGAACCACGGATAGCACTTGGTGTGAAAAACAACCGATTTCGCCAAGCGTAATTGAAGAAGGATATCTGCAAGCATTAAGTCTGTGAAGAACTCAAAGCCCGCATTATCAAGCACAATATCAATACGGCCATCGGCGTTGGAGTTTGTGAACAATCGATCGAGGATCATCTCTGTATGATCTACAATAATTTTGGAGCTTCGAGTTGACAACTGATGTTGGTTTGTTGTCGATTCGGGTAGTACGCCGTGTGCATGCAATGACAGGTCTGCCATGTTTCCCCAGAGAGAGAACTTGGCGGAAAACGGTACGCATTTGAGATGACTTAAAAATTAAAGTACTCGTTGTACCTGGAGGAAATCACGAACCAGGTCCCTCTGCGCTTCAAGGGCCAATCCCTGCACTGTGCGAGTTCCAACCAGGTTGATCAACTCGATGATGCCCACAGATGAGTTTTTGAGAGCGTTCTGCTTCTGATGCGCGAAGATGTCGTAGTGGCGGATGATATGATCGTCACTATCGAGGAATGCCTGCTGCACCCGTCTGTACATGTAGCACTCGATAAATAGCCAGGATCTCTTGAACCAGGTGTTTTCTCCACCGTCCACGATGTCCACTGTGTCTGAAAGCATCTCGTTCCAGAGTTTCGCGTCGCTGCCCGCACTGGCTCCGGTTTCGGGAAATGGTGTGAGAACCTTGTCGTGCTGAATTTCGTACTTCAACACAGCAAGCTTCTCGACTACAGATTTTGCGATGGAAGCAGATATATTCGAAGACACAGAAGACTTTTCTCCAGAATGAGCGTCGCGATAGACTTGATCGATGGCTTTGGTGAGAATGATTGGAATTCTGTCGCGGATGGTGATGTATGCGAATGAATCGGTCAAGGAACCTCTCAGAGGAGGCCTTTAGGAGAACTTAGAAAAGAAAGCATGGCTCCGGATTGCATTGTCAGCACGTACCGCGGCGGACTGAGCCTGGTCATTCTGGTCGTTACGAAACTTCCCGCTTGTAAGCCACACGGTGACGATTCAAACAATTAGGAGAATTGTTGGAACATCAAAGCAAGAGCAGCGGCATGCTGTGATCACATAGTCATGCTCTTGGAAGTTGAAGCGAGTGCGAACTGTTACGATGATCTGTTATCTGCGATCCATCCAGCATCCATTCCGCACAAAGCCACAATCGAATGGTTGGATTCTCGTTTGGAGACGTGTGTCTGGTAAGGGAGAGAGGTGTGCCTTGGGGTGTGGTACAATGTAATTGAAATGATGCACATAGAGAGATGACGATCTTGACCTACTTGAAGAAGGCGAGTGGATTAATGATGCAATCATCGACTTTTACTACGAGTACCTCGAGGATCGAACCCGACAGGTTGCATCTGGAGTAAGACGATCTGAGATAGTCTTTCTGCGTCCGACTATGGTGTTTCTTCTGGCCAATGTTCAAGGTTGGAGAGAATCGATCATCCGTATCGTATTTCGACTTTAAAGGATTTAATCAAAGACCCGAGTGACATTGCCGCTGCTGCACCACCGGGACTCAAGGAAGCCGAGTTGGTATTTATTCCAGTCAACGATAACACGTCCCTCACGCTCGCAGGAGGAAGTCATTGGTGCGATCTTTTCGTGCAATGATTATTTTGGTTGTCTTAAAGCTCCTCCATAGGTCATTACTCGTCTTTCATCGATCATCCGGGACATTCTACTACTATGATACTCTCGGCCAGTACAGCGAAAAGGCAGCTCGACGCGTCCACCAAAAGATGGCAGAATTTCTTCTGCCGCGAGCAGAACTGAATGCTGGGGTTACTAATGCGCATTTTGTCAATATCGGTGCTCAGACACAAGACAATGGTTGGGATTGCGGTGTTTTTGTAATTTACTTCACCAAAGTGCTTTGGGAGAGGTGGAGAGATTCGACTGGTGGGAAGTGGGTCGGTCAGCCCGGCGAGTTAGGTAGCTGGAGAGTGCGGGCAACCCCTCAACAGATCAGGGACATGAGAAAGCAGATCAAACGATGTATTCTCGATCTTTCAACCCAAGTCAATATCTGATCGTCGCTGTTCGCTTTAATGATTCCCATTTGTTGGTTTGTGAGCCTCATGGTCGCAAACATAAAGCGTGCCCGTCTCTCATTGACCTGTGTTATTGTTTGTTGTGACTATAACAGAGAAGCAACAGCACTATTTGAACGCACTGATTAAAAAGGGGGACAAAGTTTACATTGGCGCGACGCACATAACTGGAACCTCGTGCTAACTTTCTTGATCCTTCTTCATCCAGTCGATCACGTCCATAAAGCGGACCAAAGTCCCTCCAAAAATATCAAGTGCACTATAAACAGGTAAGAAATAATCCAATTACGCTTTATCGCCACTGCACCTTCCATATGTTAGATCGACTTTCTTATTCGATAGTCGCTCTACCAACTCCAGGTCAAGAAGATCTAAAAATCCTCTGGTTCACAACGCATCCCCGACCCCAAATGAACGTTTACCCACCGTTGGCTCCACCGGCATATGTACAGGGAATTGGACTCCATTCCCCTAGTCCTATGAAAGTACGTAAGTATCAGAGAAAGCGGAAATGGCAGAGAGCCTTACGTGCCACCAAATCGCGGTCGATCCCTTTGCAAAGACCTTCTACATCAGCAGCATGGACCAAGAATTCGCTGCAATAGCGCGATAGCAATAGCAGGGATTCTTGAGAAGCAAGGTCAGACGAACGTCGCACTGGTAAGTCATCAGCACACCTCGGTTGACTTCCATGTCGGTATCATCTTGCCACTTGTTCATGGCAACAACCCATCGATCACCCGGTCTTCTTCTACAGCTAACATCCACAACTAATCTATCAAGCCCAATTGCGTCGCAAAGCTTTCGGAGACGTTCCTCGCTGAACTTTCGATCCGGGAACAACCAGCTCGTGACAATTACCTTGTCAAAACGTAAATCATTGACCATATTAAAGAGATAGACCCCCACGGACCTTCGAAGCACCCCAATCCAGCCACTGTTGTGCGTTCTCCAGTGTGATCCCACCTCCAATCTGGAGTCCACCGGGCCATGCAGCCAGTGCTTCCTTCGCAGCAGCATCGTTCTCTGGGTCATTTCCTAGCTTAATGACATGGGCTCCTTCGAGCTTGTGCGTTCGGTACAGCTCGGCGTAGTAAGAAGACGGTTGACTGGTGGACTCAATCGTTTGAACCAACACACACACACACACACACACACACACACGCACGACGTGATCCCGCATACCTGGACACATAGTTTGTCTGCATCTGCGACGGCGCTGTATCGCTCAGCGACCCCCCTACGATCTGCTTGACTTTCCCCCTGTGCAAATCGATGCACGGCCGAAACTTTGTCATTGCGGCGCAGCGATGGAAGACCTCGAGGAAGAAGCGCTGCTCCGGGAGCAGGAGGAGTTTTTTGGCAAGAAGGAGACCGCGGCAGCGACGGTGCTGCGTGCGGCACCACCGTTAGTTCGCTCGCACAAAGAAACACACGCCAGGACTGACAATGCAGAGAGAAGAAATGCCATTGCACCAAAACCAGTTGCACAAACCGATGTGGTAGTGTCGGAAGTGGTGGAGAGAGAAGTTCTTCCTTTCGTTGCACCGTTTCCGGCACCTGGTAGTATTCTGGGCGCCGCTGTCAGCGTGACCAATTACGTCCCGCGAAGTAGACGAATCAAAAAAGAAGTCAGTGCAGATGAAGGCATGAAATCCCAGATCAATACGCCAGCCGGGAGAAAGAAGGCCGTGATTGAACGCAGGACTGCAGATGAGGAAATGGGAAACAAGAAACCAATTGCTGCGAAAGAGAACCGGATCACTGAGCAAAGGCATGTTAAGTTTGCACCCCCTCTGGATGCAAAAACATCAGTCCATGAAACTTATGCAACGGGGGATGAATTTCCTGCCTGGATTCCGAAGGATCGGCTGGAGATGGACAAGCTTGGTTGGATGATGAGCAATTATGATGAGAAGGTGCCCGTCACGGCTTCGAACAATTTGAGAACCGATCCATTAACATCCAACGACGAACTACAGCCCAAGAAAGGTCGATATACTTTCGATGGTGAGCTCATCGATCCCAAAGCGATGGTGCCCACATATCT